TTATGAAATATTTAACAAAATTTAAAACATAAAAATCAATGAATAAAGCCAAAGCTTTCTCTAATTTTTTTGATAAGGAGATTAATTTCTGTAGAAAAAAATAATAGAATAGATCAGGATGCTGAAGTTACAAGGAAGAAATTGGTCCCTTCTTATCCTAATCCACTCAGGCTTCTAAAACAAAATACCATAGACCAGGTACCTCATAAACAACAAATATTTGTTGCTCCCAGTTCTAGGGGTTGTAAGTCCAGGATCAAGGTGCCTGTGTGCTTGGCTTCTAGCGAGGGCCCCCTTCCAGGCTGCAGACTTCTTGTTGTATCCTCCCCAGGTACAATGGCTAGGGAGCTCTCCCCACTTTCTTTTATAAGAGCACTGATCTCATGCACAAGGGCTCCAGGCTCATGACCTAATTCGCCTCCCAATGTTCCCCCTTCTCCCTAATAACTGTCGTGTTTGGGGGATTAGGATATCAAACATGAATTTGTGGGGGACACATACATTCAGACAATAATACTTCTAGGATAGTGGTTTTCAAAATATGGATCCTGGGTCAGCAACATCAGCATCACCTGTAACTTGTTAGAAATGAAAGTCTCAGGCCTTCACCCCAGATCTCCTACAGCAGAAACTCTGAGAGAGAAGCCCAATAACCTGGGTTTTAACAGGTCCTCCAGGGGACACTGATGTGCACTGAGGTCTGAGAACCATTGCTTAAAGAAACGGCTCTCAAATCTCAGTATGCCCGAGAATCCCCAGCGGAAACATGTTACCATGCAGACTCCTGGCCCAGGCCACAGCTACACATTCCGAATCTCTAGTGGTGAGGTTCAAAACAGTTTTAGGGTTCATTTCATGTTATTTTATTCTACTTTTATTTATTTGCATTATTTGTAATTTGCAACTCTGAGCCATTGGGGAAAAAAAAAGAAATAAATTTCTTATAAAAATTTTAAAATATGTACAAGAGTAGAGAGAAGATGATAATAAATTCTTGTGGAATTCTCATTTAGTTTAAGCAAATATCAGCATTTTGCCCATCTTGTTTCATATTTCTTTTATTTTTTTAGTTTGTTTTCTGTGGGAATACTTTAAGGCAATTTCTAGACCTCATATCATTTCATCAGTATATTTCAGTATGTATCTCTAACAGGTAAGAGCCTTTTCTTTTCCATTGACAATTGTCATTATTATAATGCACAAAATTAATGACATTTTCTTAACATCTTTATTACAGAAATAGAAAAGTGGTTTTGGTAGTTGGTCCATACATCACATTTATTTGTTTTCCTTTTAAATCTCTTTTATTCTGCAATACTCTCTACTTCACCATTACACTTCTTCTTTTTTTTTTTTTGTTCTAGTCATTATTTTATTTTATTTTTATTGAACTTATTGGGGTGACATTAGTTAATAAAATTATATAGGTTTTACATGTACAATTCTATAATACATTATCTTTATGTTGTATTGTGAAAACATAAAAACCCTAGAAGAAAATCTAGGCAGTAAAATCTCAGACATTTCTCATGTCAATATTTTTTCTGATAGAGCTCCTAGGGCAAGGCAAACAAAAGAAAAAATAAGCAAATGGGACTACATCAACCTAAAAACTTTTTGCACAGTAAAAGGAACCATCAACAAAATGAAAAGACAGCCATTGAACGGGAGAACATATTCCTCATTTCACTTCTTAACGCAAGGTATTTGTTGAGAAACTGGGTCATGTGTCCTCTGTAATTTTATACTCTCGACTAGGCTGAAAGGGTCCTTGTGATTTTGTTTAAAGAACCTTGGTAGAAAGATCTAGAAACTTGCCTCACTCGGGTCCACTTGTTTTGGCAAGAATACTTCACAGGTGGCACTGTGTGTTTTCTACTCTCCCCTATCAAGAGGCTCACATTATCTGTTTATTCTGCTTTCAGTGATGCCAAGTTGATCTATGGGTTCAGCCCTCATCAAACTGACCCACCAAATATAAAATTCCCCCATCACCAATTAACCTAACTGCTCTAACATCCATTAATAATTGTTGCCAAGATTTATTATTTCATTAAGGTTTGCAAAATAACAATTGTTCTCTCTCCTATGTATTTTAGCTAGAATATTTCTATAAAGAAGAAATATCAAAATTTATTTAGTTATCTGTAAGTAGTTTATACAAGAAAAACAAGATTCTTTACCTCTACTTAGAAATTTTACAACTTAGAAATCTTCCTTAGCAACCTCCAAATGTAACAATGAAGACTTCGTTTGCTTATTTTTATATTTTGTTACTATTATGGAGCCTTGGGTATTTTTACATTTGATGTATTTTGATCCTTTGGAGCCATTATACTTTTGATGTTCAAATTATTACAGCTCTATCCAAAGAAGTCTTTAACAGGTTCTTTAATTTCTGGAACAAGAAGATGTCCCAGACTCATCTTGCACATTTCCTAGCCCTAACCAGGGCAGGGACCTGGGTCCTTTGGGTGGACTCTGGGATTTAGAGACCACAACAAAGGTGCGAGGGTGCTCATCCTTATTAGGCTTTTTCAGTGGGTAGAGTTAAGATAGACTTTTATTTCCAGATGAAGCAAGATTAATTATGAGTTCACACTGCTATTTGCAACTCAAAATGTAAGATTACCAGGTATTTACTTGACTTCTTGTTTATGATATGAATTTCAAACTAACAACATGAATATTACTACTAACAAAAAGACTGCTGAGTACAGTTAAGACTTCTATCTCATGAGATGTACAGTCGGAAATATTGATTTAAAGTCACTTGAGAGAATTTTTTTCTCTGTGTAGTTATGCCACAAACTTGATATACTATTAGCTTTATTTGTTTCAGTTTGTTTTAAATTGGGAGAATAACTTTTTTCTTATTCTTTCTTTTTGTTTAATTTATAAGACATGAACGTGATTTGAATAATAAAAACTATAAAACATGGTACATTCAGAGATAGCATCTATTGTGGTTTCTTTGTTTAACTATTTTAATATAAGTAAGCACGTGTGCATATTGGTATAGCCCTTCTTTTCTGACACAAAAGGCAGCATACTTTGTTCTATACCTGTTTGGTTTTTTTTGTTTCACTTTGACCTGGAGGTGACATTACATCAGTATACAGAGACCTGCTTTATTCCTTTCCACAGCTGCAATAAGTACCACATTTTGTTTATAAACCATAGTTTTTTCAGTCAGACCTCTACTAGTAGACATTTGGCTTATTGTTGGGAAATGCCCTGCCTGGTGTCAGGGACCATAGCCCCACTGACAGGCAAGAGGGCCCCAAGGCTGGAGCTGAACAAGGAGGCCTGGGGAAAACAGACCACTGAGGAGATGAAACCTGTCCCTCTGCCTCCCTCACATCCCCCTGCTTGTCCCTGTGATGGTCAGTGATCTCAGATGGGTAAGTTCTCTCATGAGGAGAGACAACCCAAGACAGACATCGGCCAGTATGGGCAGCAGGACAAGGACTTGGGGGACACAGAGAAAGGGCAAAAAAGCCTGTACCCCTCGGCTCGGCTTGGACAGGGCCAGAATCCCTATTCTATCTAAAAGAAATCTCCTTATCTTTTGGTGGCCTTGCCCAGGCCTCCTGGCTCAGGTTTCAAACAATACTAAAGGCAGGTACAGCCCTAAACTGGATCGGGCAGTTCTGGGGACAATCAGGCCTAGAAGTAAGTTCCTCTAAGCATACTTAGTTCTTTTCGAAAGCGATGATAACCAACTCATACTGGGAAGGAGATTTACATTATTCATAGACCCTGACCTGAGGCAGATCTCTTGTGATCCTTCAGTTGTCTCTATTTATTTTCTGTAAACATAGCCTTTTGACACTGATTGATGAGCTTTGCATCCATACCCCTGTGCATATGGTTCTCAATAAAAGCCTTTGGACACAGGGGTTCAGGGCCTTCTCTCCCCTAGAGGGACGAGCCATGTCCCATGTCCCTCTCCTGGCAAACAGAGAAGTGTTTGAGACGACTTGTGCTAATTCCCCCACCTGTGACAACTCCGACACAGACTCTGCGGGATTCAGAGCCCCGCTCCCTCCTCATGGGTTCTGGACAGTAACCCTCAGATCCAGGAGCACCAGCGTTCCACGCTCCCCCGTGATGCGTCGCTCCCCCACAACAGCTTATTTCTAGATTTTTGTGATAGCAAATTATGCCATAGTGAATTGAACTGTATATATGCCATTTTGTATTTTTACCAGAGTCTCTATGAATATTACAGTATTCTTAGAAGAAAGATAGTTGGGTCAAAAGTTAAATGCATGTGGAATTTTGGTAGATACTGAGTACCAAACAATCCTTAAAATGTTGTACTATGTTGAATTCCTAAAGACAATATATGAGAGTGTTTCTTTCCCCACAGCCTGACCAACACATATATTGTCAAATGTCTTTCTTTTTTCCCCCATCCAATAGGTGAGCAATGGTTCTTCAGTGCAGTTTTAACTACAGTTTTTTTATTATGAGCAAGAGGTTAAGGGCCAAGTTTACATTTACATTTTGCTTTCTGTAATCTATCTTTTCTTATCTCTAGTTCATTTGAAGGTGTACAAAAATTTTTATTGTGATTGAATCTATCAAACTTGTTCCTATTGCTTATGCATTTTTAGTCATAGTTAGGAACATTGTTCCTATTACCAGATTATAGAAAAATTCATCCATACTTTCTTGAAGTTCTTGTTTGTACCCAAAATTTTAAACAACTTCCTGAAGAGAGTCATATGTACACCAAAGTACCAGTTTACAAATACAAGTTTATAGAGTGATGTCAAACATTGCAGTTATCTATATAAGAAACATTTAATAATCTGTCATGTTCATGATTTTCTTAATTCTTCTAAATGATGACAGTCTGAAGTCTTCTTGCCTGCATAGTAAAATGTTTTGTTAGTAAAACAGAAAAGAGTATTTCTGACCTAATGAATAAACATATTGATGTTTATTCATTACTCTTTATGAATAAACATATTCGATTATTGAGAATTTACCTTTCTAAAAGAAGACAACATAAACCATTATGATGCAGCCCACAATCCATCCAATCAGGAGAAGAATGGGAACCAGAAGTTGTGATGACATAGATTCTGCTTAAAAATAAACAAAGCAAAACAGATTCAATTAAGTCATTTTGGCATTGTATCTTCTGAATCAAGAGAATAAGAGAAATCTGGTAATATCAAGGGAAAAAAATACACTCTCTAGCCATACCCAAACATGACTATTACATTTTTTCTACAAAAGATACATGTGACTCAGCTGGGTATTTGGAATAGAAGGCCTGTGTTCAATCATAGGTCTTCCTTTTAGAGTTATGTGACCTTGGGCCATTCTGAGCTTGAACTTCCCTATTTGTAAAATATGGATAATGTAGCTTGTGGTATCTGTCTCCCAAAGCTGTTGCGAGGATCAAATGATATCACATATGAGCAAGGGTTTTGTAAACTCCAACCACCGTGTATGTGTGTAGTGTAGATGGCACATATTCATGTATGTGTTCAATAACACAGAGAGTAGCTGTTTACATACAAACAATAGAAAATGACTCTAAGGCAATTCCTACTAAACTAAACAATAATCATAACGGGGAAAGGTATTAAAATTGTTCTTGGCCTTGATAGCTAACTTCACTCTTAAATACCATAGGGAAAAAAGCATTATATTTCATATAATCATTCTCAACTGGAGAAGATTCTATTTTTTTAACTGTTTGATATCACAATCAACACTGATCCAACACTCACACATATAAAAGATATTATATAATGATTTCTCCTGTGTTTCCTATTTGTACCCTGACCTGTAAAAAGCAACTTTAAAAATATCTTTTTTAAAATATTCACTGTATCTCAACCTTATTCTTTCAAACATACACGTATCATGCAAAAGGATTAAAAAACAACACAGAAAGACATATACAATTAAAGCTGTGTTAAGGACTCAGATACATTCTTAATTGAAAACCCAATTAGATCTTATGCCATCAACTAACAAAGGGAATATACAGTCTTAGCAATTGCATTTCTATTATAACTTTCACCACTTTAAAATATGGAGCGTTTTAAATACTAGTAAAATAAAATCATCCAGGAACTTCCAAAGACACTTCTATAATTAGAAGACATACTTGTAAAAGCAAATTTTCTGAAGTTAAAATGAATAGTAATGGCTTAAATCTGTTTCCAGAAATGTTGGAGTCTCTCTTAACTCTCAAAAATAAACTAGGCTTTCCTTCCTTCTCCACCTTTACTGTGACCTTGAACAAAGCATTAACCACTAAATGAAAAACTCTCCCCTGCCCCTGCCATGTGGTATTGCTTTAAGGATAAAATGAACATTATGACATACCCTTTACTCTCATTTGGATGAAAGTCTTTTTATGAATTAAGGTGCCATTATAGAGGAAGTACGTAATAGTAATTTGTTTGAGCAATTCATACATGTGATTTAGTTTTTTTCCCAATTCCAAAGAACTTCAAAAATTAATATTGGTATTTTAAGTGGGTGTTATGAATATTTTATACAAGCATATTTTAATACAATTCTAAAGTATGTATTAAAAATTCTTAAAATATATATATCCCTTATTAATCCTTGTAAACCAATACAATTGACTGTGCATTTTAACACTGAGTATAACTATAACTGCAGTTGTGTTCTTTTAACACCAATATTTTAATTTTACCAAAATCTATACCATTGCTATGAAATAGGAATATATAGGAGCTTTGCACATGTCACTTACATTAATAGCACAAATAAGCACTAAGCCTCTTTTTAAATAAGAACAACTCCAAAATGCTACTTTCTCTGTCCAGCCCTAAGCATGCCCGAGCAGTTACACCTGGGAGTATTCCTAAGGTCGCTGTGCTCTGGAACAAGGCTGTCCAAGTTCAACCATGGTGCCACTGCCCTCTAAGTGCATGCTTGCAGGCAAGTTGCAAACTTTTGCTATGTTTCAGCTTCCTTATCTGTAAAATGGGAAATATAGTAATACTGCATATTTCACGAGCTTGTTGTCAGGGTAAAAAGCAACAATTCCTGTCAGCACTTTAGAACTGTTTCTTGGGCACAGTATATTCAGCCCATTTTGTCATATTAGCAGTAATCATTTCTTTAAATATAAAAAAATATTTAAAAACCAGAAAGAAAAAGAAACTCAAATGTAAAGCATATTAGAGATGACTAGGCCCATTTTATTTATTTTCATTGTAGAACTAGGAAACAGGATCAGAGAGGTTAAGGGACTTCCTTAAACCCATGTGGCCACTTTAAGTCTCCTTAATTCTGGCCCAGCATGCCACAATACCTCAGATCAACACCTCAAATCTAGTACAATACCTGAGAATAATTGACCTCTAACTCATCTTACAAAACAAGGGTGAACAAACTCAGCTTTTTCGCTGGTTTGATCCTTTTAATATTGTTCATAATGTATAGACATGGTCCATAAACTGCACATCTAATGCACTTTTTGTGGTCACACTAACATATATGGTTAATGCTCCTTTAGCAGAAATACCACATTCATCAAAGTAGCTGATTAACACCAAATACTGGTAAACATAAAATAAACCAGCAAAGCTGGGTATTTTTTGCCAAGAGAGTCTTTTGCTTAAATCTTACCTTTCTCAGCCATTCTTCCTGTTGTTGGGTGGGTTGGTCAGAGCCAGGCTTACCTCTTTGTTATTGTCATCCAGCGTCTGGCTTTGAACTTTAAATAGATTATCTGAAGAGTGCAGCAGCTGCCCCTCTTCTGGCTGCCAATTGTCTGCAGGGTGAGGTAAGACGTTGGAAAGCAGAGCTCCTCTGGCTCCTCTTATCCTGTTATGATGGAGGGAAAGGGGGCTCCATGGCCCAAACAATTAAATAGGCTGAGTTAGCCTAACGCAGAGTTATGCATATTTTTAATTTGCCCAGTGGCTTCAGACCACATGAAGAACATGTTCGGTGAAGGGGTGTACAGAAGGAAAATGGCACTGCAATTAGAGAAATTCTACCAAAGGAGGAGGGTGATATATTGGGAAGAATGGGCTTTGAAGTTAGAGAGACCTGGCCTCAAATTCTAGCTCTGCTATTTCTGTAATGAAGGTCAAATTGCTTAACCTGGGCATCAGCTTATTTAATTTTAAAATTAAGATAGCAATACCCACCCACAGAAGAAGTGTCATAAAGATGAAGTGAAAAAGCTCTGTGAAATATAGACAGCTCTTTATTACATTACAGATGCAAAAGATAAAACAAATTAAATAGCGCCCCTTCAAATGAATCATTGTAAAAAGAGAAATTTTAATATAAATGTGCTAGAAACTAAAACAATAAAAGGCTATGGTATTGCCTAGAATTTCCAGAGAGCAGTCATAATCTTGTTGTTTTTATCAGCAATAAAAAATAAGACATTCCATTTTTTAAAGTCCAACCTGGTTTATGTAACATGACCTAGACTATGCTCTAGATCCTTGTTGGAATAACTTTAATTTTTAGGTTTGGATGGAAAAGTTTTGCAGGATGACCCCGTGACCAACTTTCTCAAAATGCTGACATGTGACTCAGGGCATCCCCCTTTAGAACACAAGACTGGCATGATCAAAGCTCTTTCGGCAGAGCTGCAAGAATGATGTTTACCTGCAAATGACCACGCCTCATCATTGACCAAAATCTATCAACAGTTCTTCATCTCCTAGAGAATAAAAAGCTGAGGTCCTTGCTAAGACACCAAAAAAGCCTTATCTCTACCTTCCCATTTGCAATGATGCTTCAGCCCTGCTGAACTCCTTGTTGTTATATGAATTCAAGACAAGCTTCCACATACATAGGTAAGAACATTTGATTTTCTACAAGTCATATACCTATAGATTAGAGTATGTTGCCAGCCATCTGATAAGTTTATTACATGTCATTTAAGCCAAGTTATCATCTCTCTCCAATTTAATATTGAAACAAACAAAAAAGTGTCTGGCTATACCGGGTAAGAAGAGAGACTATGCTACCTATGCAACAAAATCCCTGATAAAGACAGGTATTGTTTTTTCAATATTAAGCAATTATATATTAAACAAAGATTAATTGAAGACAAGATAGAGACAAAGAAAAAAGTGGTGGTTGATCTCCCTTAAATACTGAAATTTTTAATTAAATAGGTTCAGATAAACACTCACTCACTACAAAGGAGCGGGGAGATTGAAAAGAAACAGTGAGGTATCCTCCACACAACAAGCATACGTATATATAGGATGAAATAATGTGTGTGAAATGAGTGAAAATAAAGACATAAAATGTCTCTGCATTTTAAATACTTGTTGCCATTTCAATTATTTTAAGCTTTTTCTTTTGAAACAAAACGAACTATTATTAACATTACTGCTATCAATTTGGATTTTGAGAAAGGATTACTTTATAACTCATCATTTATTTTATTTTACTTCTTTAGTTTTCTACAGAAAGAGAGAAGTGGAAAAAACTAATTCAATGAACATGAATTGCTCAGGTCTCAGAAAAGGGTTCAATCTAGAATCTCATTTCCTTGGTATCCCATCAGTAAATTAAAAAAAAAAAGTTGTATAATATTTATTAAGGGGAAAATGTTTTATTTATTAATAGGCTGGTTTCACTTGGAACTCATAAACCCATTTTCTAATCTTCCTCCTAAGCTATACAATTCAGACTCATTTTCTATTTCTACTTTGCATACTTTCTTAAAGATTTAGCTCTCAGATCTCTTATTAGCAAAACAACATTAGATTTTTCTAGGCAACTTAAGCTAAAAAATTTATATTTAGCTCCTTATTCAAGATCAATCAAAATTCTTTACTTTTCAAATATTTTTAACTGTCAGTGTCTGTGACTGCGGTAGACAGATGTGAACATATTAGAATAAATGGACAAATCCCTATAAAGACATAAACTATCAAAACTAATCCCCTCAAAATAAAAAATTTAAATAGACTTATAACAAGTAAAGAGATTGAAGTCATAATCAAAAAATGTCCCACAAGGAAAATCTCTGGAACAAATGGCTTCACTGATAAATTCTCCCATTTAAAGAGTCAACACCAATACTTCAAAAACTCTTCCCCAAAACACAAGAGGAGCGAAGACCTCCCAGCTCATTCTATGAAACTAGTACTACTCTAATAATACCTAACAAAAGTATGATAAGGAAAGAAAACTGCAGAACAATGTTTCTAATGAATATAGGTGCAAACATTTCAACAATAAACTAACAAACCAAATAACATATAAAAAGCATAATACCATGCCCAAGTGAGGCTTATCCCAATAATTCAAAGTCAGCACAACAATTAAATAATATACCACATTCATAGAATAAAGAACAAAACCCACATGATCATTTCAGTGACGCAGACAAAGCATTTGACAAATTCCAACACCTTTTCATGATAAAAACATTCAAAAATGAAAAATAAAAGGATACATCCTCCATCTCATTAAGCGAATCTACAAAAACCCACAGCTAACATTATTCTTAATGGTGAAAGAATGGATGCTTCTCCCCCAAGATCATGAACATTACAAGGACGTTCACTCTCACATTTTGATTCTGTATTGTATTGAAGTTTGTAGCTGGGAGATTGAGGCAGAAAATGAAGTAAAAGGCATCCAAACTGGAAAAGAAAAAATTAAACTGCAGTCATATCTCAACGTGCGTCGGCTTCAGAACACCTCAAACCTGGTACTCACTGCATTCTAACAGGAAAAAATGTTTCAGTACTTGGCATCTGCTCACCACTTGTCACACTTGCTAGAATTTGTATTAGTCAGAAATCACCCCACAAGAGAAAATGCTTAATTAATCATCGCTTGCTCGCCATTTGTCAGAACAAATTATTGTTGAGTACCGAGGTACCACTGTATTTCGATTTTTAGATGACATAATCTTACATACAGAAAATCTTAAAGAAGCCACCACAAAAAGCCTTTTAGAGCTAATAGCTAAATTCAGCAAGATTTCAAGATACAAGATCAACACACCAAAATCAATTGTATTTCTACATACTAGCAATAAACGGTTTTTAAATTTAAATTAAGAAAAAATTGCATTAAATAGCAACAAAAACTATAAAATACTTAGGAATATATTTAAGCAAAAATGTACGAGACTTGTAACTGAATACTAATGTAATATTTCTGAAGAAAACTAAAGAAGATATTAATAAATGGTAAGACATTTTGTGTTCACAGATTGAAACACTTAATATTGTTCAAGATGGCGATACTACCCTAAGCAATCTACAGGTTCAATATACTCCTATCTAATACCAATACCCCTTTTTCCAGAAAGGGAAAACCTAACCTTAAAATTCATGTAAAATTGAAATGGAGCCTGAATAATCAATAATGTTGAAGACGAAAAACAAAGTTGGAGGACTCACACTTAGTGATTTCAAAACTTACTACAAAGCTACAGTAGTCAAGAGTATGTAGCATAGGCATAAAGACAGACATAGAGATTAATGGAATACAATTGAAAATCTGTAAATAAACCTAAACACTTATGATTAATTGATTTTCAACAGGGATGCCAAGGCAATCAATATATTAGGAGAAAAAAATTGACTTTTCAACAAATGATGCTGGGACAACTAATTTTCCACATGCAAGAATGAAGGTGAATCCCTACCTCACACCATATAAAAAAATTAACTCAAAATGCATCAAAGACCTAATGTAAGAGCCAAAACTATAAAATCAGAAGAAAACATAGGGGTAAATCAGGCAATAGTTTCTTAAACATGATAGCTAAACTACAAGCATTCAAAGACAAAAATAGACAAATTGGCCTTTATCAAAATTTAAAAGTTTTGTACATCAAAGGACACCATTAAGAAAGTAAAATTAAAAGCTATGGAACAGGAAAAATATATTTCTGAATCATGGACATGGACAGTGTGGTGATTGTGGGGTGGAGGGGTATAAATGGAAGTAAAAGAGGTTATGGGGGGATAAATGGTAATGGAAAAAATATTTGCAAATCGTATGTCTAATAATGATTTAGTATCCAGGATATATAACATATAATATAATATAATATAATATATATCAACAATAAAAAGACAAATAACACAATTTAAAAATGGGCAAAAAATTTGAATAGACATTTATCCAAAGAAGATATACAAGTTGCTAATAAGCACATGATAATACACTCCAATCATTAGTCACTAGTGTAATGCAAATCAAAACCACAATGAGACACCACTTTACCACTGCTGAGGTGGCTGTAATAAAGACAGACAGTAACAAGTGCTGGCAAAGATATGGAGAAATTAGATTCCTTATATAGCATTAGTAAGAATGTAAAATGACACAGTAATTTTGAAAAAGATTTTCAGTTCTGCAAAATATTAAATATAGAATTACCTTATGATCCAGCAATTCTATACTTAGGTGGTGTATACCCAATTAATTGAAAATAGGTGTTCAAACAAAATTTATACACAAATGTCCATAGAAGCATTATTCATAATATTCAAAAAGTGGGAACAACCCCAATGTCCATAAACTGGGGAATGGATAAACTAAATGTGGTATATCCATACAAGGTAATTATTCAGCCATGAAAAAGAATGCAGTTCTGGCATTTGCTACAACACCATTAAAACTTGAAAATAATATGCTAAGTGAAAGAAACTATATTGTATTGTATGATTCCATTTATATGAAATGTCCAGAACAGTCAAATCTATAGAAACAATGTAGATTAGTGGTTGCTCAGGGTTTGGGCAAT